TATGGAGAAAAAAGCTTGACATAAACATCTCCTAAGAGCTTAGAATAGTGCCTGGCACATAGTAGGTGCTTATGAAATAGTATTAAATGAAAAACAGAATGAATGGCTTGGGGCAAAAGAAAAATAAATGGAAATAGGAAGATGTACATCCATAGGAAATATCAATATATTGCAAGAAAAATATTGAGAGACAACTAATGCAAATAGCAATATACATATTCAAAGAAGCAGATTGTAAAGGGAGACAGGGAAATAAATAAAAGATTGGGACTCACGGAGGCTCATAAACATATGCATGTACTCTTGAGAAAATGATTCTTTGCGTGGAATGTGTCTCAGACACTGTGCTGGGTGTGTGATATGGACACAGGGAAACACACTCAATGTTTTCGAGTTTATTTTTAAAAAAAGAAATGGAATGAAATACAGTTTGTAAAATGTCAAAACCTGATGAAGTTTGGTGGTGGGTACATGGAGTATTTGTTGTACTATGCTTTCTGTATATATGTTTGAAACTTTCCATAATAAAAAAAATCTTTAAAAACAGGACAGTTAATAACTGAGTCCAGGCCCAACTGGTTCTCCCTTCCCCGCACAAAGTCACAGAGTTAGAATTGCCAAGACTTAGCAACAGATTGCCTATGGGAGGCAAATGGGAGGAGAAGGTCATGTTCACGCCAAGGGTTGGTGTCCTGGCGACTAAGGGAGTGATTTTGTCTAATGGAATAATAGGTTTGGAAAGGAAGCTAATAGGTTCATTTGTCAGTAATGTTGGGGGAATGCTCAAGGAGATATTTGTAGACCAAAGGCAGTTTGTTTCTTATGGAATTGTGGTTTCCCAAGGCTCAGGAGAGGCTCGCAGACGTGGAGATACAGAGGTGGGAGAAAAGGGGGACTGGCTGGGGAGCGCCGAGAAGAAAGTCTGGGGGCCGTGGCTTCTAATTTTCAATAACGAAGAGGGAGGAGGTTTGGGTGGAAGCCTAGACCCAGGGTGCGGCAAGGATAACAGCTGAATCTGTTGAATTATCCAGCCACAATGTTCTTTGTGGAATGCTGACTTGTTGGCCCCTGCAGAGTTTATTCCCTCCCAGGTGCTGGGCACAGTTGCTCAGAGCAGCTCCTGCAGGGTAGGTCAAGAGGTCGGAAAGAAAGAGGTCAGAGGAGAGAGCTGGAGATACTGGCCTCTGCAAAACACACTGATTTTTCTTGGTATTTGACAGGTGAACCAGAGGAAATTTAGCCGAGAGCCAAGCCAGTCAACAGATTCCCTCAACTGTTTTCACCACCCCTTGAGGTCCTTGTTTACAGCCTCTCTTCTTCACATTTTTTTCCCCTTTGCTAGACATTTTACTTCAATGTGTATTTGTTAAATGACGATTTAAGGGAATAAGTATAATAACCCATACAATGAAAAGTAGTCTTTGAAAGTGGCGACTCAGTTTACTTAATCAGAGAAACCTTGATGTTATGAATTCCAGATATTTAATACCTTTTAAGGGCTTAATTGAATTAGAAAAAGTTATTTTTTTGGACATCTGAAATTAAGAAGATTTTTAATTTCGTCTGCATGCAGGAAATTTCTAATTCAGTGATTAGTGATAGGTTTAGAAAATTATAAATCCACTTCGTAATGTATTCATGGCAATAAACAAATTCTATATCACCATGGATTCCAAGCAAAATTAATATCACGTCCCAAATGAGAACCAGCTGCTGTTTCAAACATCATAGAGGGGGATGGGAGAATTCAAGTTTAATTAATTATTTCCTTGGTTAGAAAACAAAATCTTCAAACAAAGAGAACATTATATCTATAAGGCACAAACTAGCATTTCTAAGATTCCACCCCCAGTAAGCCCAGTGAACATAATGCCAAGTCTTTCACTGGATTTTGAGTTACTCATATAAACTTGGAAAATCACAACAGAGAGGAACTGAGATTGTGTCTAGATAGCTGAAGTCAAAAGACTCGTCTGCTTTCTTTTCTAGGTCAGCCTCCTTACCCCCAAGAGCATACCAACCAGGGTTCCTGTCTTAGATTCCTTTGCATTCATGTTTTCATCCAATTCTATTTCTTACAAATACCATCTATTTCTTACAATTCTTCAGTATCAGTTGCAATCAAACTTTAAAATGTGTTTGTAATTAACAGGCTGAGTAGTTTAACAACGAGGTTAAAGAATTGAATACCAGGTACTGTCTTAAGCATTCTATGCACAATATCATATTTCATCCTTATAAGGTTCTACTATTATTATTGTCACCATCACAGTTTTGCGGATGAGGACACTTAGACTGAGAGCATTGGTTCTCAGCTGGGGCTGCCTGTTAGAGACATCTGAGGAATTTTAAAAACTTTCCATGCTCAGGCTGTGATCCACCAGTTAAATCAGAACCCCTGAAGGTGAGACCTGGACTTTAGTCTAATTTTTTTAAAGCTGCTCAGGTGATTACAAAGTGGAGTGAAGGTTAGAACTCCCGACTTTTAGAGCAGCTAACTAACTAGTGCAAAGTCATGGGACTGATTGGTTGATGGATGGAGTGGGGTACAAATCCAGGCTTATAGATTTCAGAGCTTTGCCCTTAACTTTTCAACTCTATTGACTCTCCAAGTGTTTGTTTTAAAACAAAAAAAGAAAACAATTATTAACATTCCTATTTTCATATTTTATATACTGTAGAAAAGTGCATAAAACATATAGAGAGCTAATGAGTGGTAATAAAACACATAACAGTATAAAAACCACACTAATATCAAAATAGAACATGGGTAGCATCTCAGAAACTCCCCATATGCTCCTCCCTCATCACAACTTTCTCCCTTCTCCCTGGAAAAATCCTACAGCTTGACTTCTTGGATACTCATGTGTTGTTTTTCTTTATGTTTACTATTTATGGATGTTTCTCTAAGCAATATTGTTAAGTTCTGCCTGTTTCTGAACTTTGCATGGAAGGATTCATAGAGCATGTATTGTTATTTGTGCCTGGATTTTTGCTGAACGTTATGCTTGTGAGATTCTTCCATGGCGTTATGGCTATCCATTGTTGCTCCATGTTCATTGTGGTATGATATTCCATGGTATGAATCTACCATAATTTATTTACCCATTTTTCTGATGATCCATATTTGGGTTGATTTCAGTTTGGGGCAATTGGTAACATGTCCCCTGTTGTACATATACCTGAGACTCTCTAGAAGCACACTTATCTGGTAATAGTATAGGCCCATTTTCTTTTTTCTTTTTTTAAAAATGAATTAATTTATTTTTTCAAATACATGTGTCTCTGCCTTCCCCCCACAACTTTCCCCTGACCCCTTCCCCCTTCTCCCTCCCTCAATCCTTCCCTACTTTGGCTTTGTCCATGAGTCCTTGCTATATGTTCCTTGACTTGCCCCTTCCCTTCCTTTTCCCCTGTCTACCCCTCCCTCCTTCCCTCTTGTCTCTGTTGGTTTCTTTTTTCTTTCAGTATTGCTGGTCTTATTTTCCTTGCATCTTTGTTTTGTTGGTTAGGTTCCACTTATAGGTGAGATCATATGATATTTGTCTTTCGCCCCCTGGCTTATTTCACTTAGCATAATGCTCTCTAGTTCCATTCATGTTGTTGTGAAGTGTAGTAGTTCTTTTTTTCTTTCTGCTGCGTAGTATTCCATTTTCAATTCAATTGGCAATGCTAATAGTATTTCCAAAGTGGTTATATTAATTTACCTCCTACTAGCAGTGCATGAAATTTCTTACTGCTTCACTTCATAACCAACACATGGTAATGTCAGACAATGTTTGCCAATGAATTGGTTTTAAAATTACAGTTTTGGTTAGTTTTAATTTATATTTTTCTATCAATGAAATCTAAAATCTTTTCATATGTTTATTATCCATTTGGAGTTCCTTTCTCTGTGAAGTGCATATTTGGAACTTTTGCCTGTCTTTCTGCAGGTTGTCTGCAGAATTGGCAAATGTGGTCTTTCATACAGTCAATTTCCTTTTCGTTTTGATGATGGTTTCTTTAGCAGTACAAAAACTTTTTAATTTGCTGTAGTCCCATTTGTTTATTTTTCCTTTATTTCCCTCACCCTAAGAGATATATTGACAAAAATATTGCTACGTGGTATGTCTGAAATTTTACTGCCTATGTTTTCTGCTAGGACTTTTGTGGTATCATGACTTATATTTAAGTCCTTTATCCTTTTATAATTTATTCTGGTGTGTGGTGTTAGTTGGTGGTTAAGTTTCATTTTTTAGCATGTATAGTCCAGTTCTCCCAACACTATTTGTTGAAGAGACTGTTTTTACTCCATTGTATGCTCATGCCCCCTTTGTTGAATATTAATTGACCATAGAGACATGAGTTTATTTCTGGGCTCTCCATTCTGTTCCAATGATCTATATGTCTGTTCTTGCCAGTACCTTATTGTCTTGATTACAGTGGCCTTATAGTATAGTTTAATGTCAGGTATTGTGATCCCTCCAACTTTGTTCTTCTTTCTCAGGACTGCTGAGGCTATTAGGGGTCTTTTTTTGGTTCCCTATAAATTTTTGGAATATTTGTTCTAGATCTGTGAAATATGCCATTGGTATTTTAATAGGAATTGCATTGAATCTTATAGATTACTTTGGGTAGTATGCACATTTTAATGATATAATTCTTCCAATCCATGAACATGGTATATGCTTCCATTTTTTTTGTGTCTTCCACAATTTCTTGTGTGTTCTATAGTTTTCTAACAGGTCTTTAATCTGTGGTTAAATTTATTCCTAGGTACTTTATTTTTTCTTGCTGCTATAGTAAATGGGATTTTTTCTGAGATTTTCTTTCTGATGCTTCAGTTTTTGGTGTTCGAGAATAACATTGATTTCTGAATATTGACTTTGTATCCTGCTACTTTGCTGAATTCACTTATTAGGTGCAGTAGTTTTTTGGTGGAGGCTATAGGGTTTTCTATGTATACTATCATGTCATCCGCAAACAGTGACAGCTTTACTTCCTCCTTTCCAATTTGGAAAAATATGGAACGTATCATGAATTTGCATGCCATCCTTGCACAGGGGCCATTCTAATCTGCTCTGTATTATTACAATTTTAGTATATGTGCTGCTGAAGCAAGCACAGCAATCTGTGTGTTTTAATCCCTTCCCCTTTTTCACCCATCCCACCAACCCCCCACTCATCTGGCAACCATCGATTTGTCCTCTATATCTGTGAGTTTGTTTCTGTTTTGTATGATTGTTTATTTTGATTTTTAGACTTCAAATCTGTCAGAATGGCTATCATCAATAAATCAACTAACAATAAATGCTGGAGAGAATGTGGAGAATGGAGAACGTTTATGTACTCACTCTTGGTGGGAATGCAGATTGGTGCAGTCACCTTGGAAAACAGTATGGAGTGTCCTCAAAAATAAAAGCGTAACTGCCTTAATTTGCATTTTCTGATGATTAGTTGAGCATCTTATCATATGTCAGTTGGCCATTCGTATGTCCTCTTTGGAGAGATGTCCATTCAGGTCTTCTACCTATTTTTTAATTGGATTTTTTGGTGTTAAATTGTATGAATTCCTTATATATTTTGGATATTAACCCCCTATTTGATATATCATTGGCATATATAGTTTCCCATTTAGTAGGTTGTCTTTTGTTTTGTTGATGGTTTCGTTTTCTTTCTTTCTTTCTTTCTTTCTTTCTTTCTTTCTTTCTTTCTTTCTTTCTTTCTTTCTTTCTTTCATAGACAGTTTATTGTTCTATTACAGTCGTCCCAATTTCCCCCGCTTTCCTTTCCTCTGCCCAGCCCACCTCCCACTCCCATGGTCAATCCCCAACCTGTTGTCCGTGTCCATGGGTCATTCATACATGATCCTTGACTAGTCCCTTCCCCTCCTTTCCACTCTTATCCCTTTCCTCCTCCCCTCTGGTTGCTGTCAGTCTGTTACTTGTTTCCATGCCTCTGGTTCTATTTTGCTCATTTGTTGTTTTGTTCATTAGGTTCCTCTTATAAGTGAGATCATATAGTATGTCTTTTGCTGCCTGGCTTATTTCACTTAGCATAATATTCTCCAGTTCCATTCATGCATTTGTGAAAGGTAAGAGTTCTTTCTTTGTTTATGCTGCATAGTATTCTATTGTGTAAATGTACCATAGTTTTTTTTAATCCACTCATCTATTGATGGGCACTCAGGCTGTTTCCAGCACTTGGCTATTGTAAATAATGCTGCTGTGAACATATGGGTGCATAGGTTCTTCTGAATTGGCCTTTCAGGGTTTTTAGGGTATAATTCCAGCTGTGGAATCATTGGGTCAAAAGGCAGTTCTGGTTTTAGTTTTTTGAGGAAATTCCATACTGTTTCCCACAGTGACTGTACCAGTCGCATTCCCACCAACAGTGCACTAGGGTTCCCTTTTCTCCACATTCGCACCAACACCTGTTGTTAATTTGTAAATGATGGCCATTCTGATCAGTATGAAGTGGTATCTCATTGTGGTTTTAATTTACATCTCTCTGATGGCTAGTGTCGTTGAGCCTACCAAAGAGGTAAGGTAAGTGCCATAAGTTGATATCAGTGAAACGCAAGAGAGGTAAATAGCCAGTATCTCATTCATTCGTGAATATCGTTGAGTATTCATGAAGGGAGGTAGCATTTGAACTGGTTCTTGGAGTTTGACTGCATTTTCATTTGGAAAGGTGCCAGTGGGCTTGTAGAATGACAAAACAACTTGATGTGCCCTGTTACCATAGTTCAGATGGTAGATGTCTATTTCCGCCTTGTTTCCAGATGATGCAAGCCCATATAGGCACTAATGGTACTTCAATGATTCCATTTTCTACTTGAATTCCTTGTTTAAACGACCTATTTACATTACTCCTCTGGGTGACACCTATGCCTAGAGAAGACTGCTAGTTGAAAATGAGCAAACAGCAGCCAGGTATTTCTTATCTCTAATGGATGTTCTGCAAAGCCCTTAGCTCTAGCATTTTGTGTGCAATGAATTTTTAAAAAAATGAATAAAAGGAATAGAAAATGATGGACACACACATCTAGGTGCTTTGTGCAAACATCACATTATTCTTCCGTCAAGGTGACTCTAAGCATAGGATATGCAGTTTGAAAGGGCTGACACAGAACTGCGTGGGCCTCCTCACTCACTCAGTCTCCTCTTTCTGAAAAATGGACTTGTGTTTGAGGTCATCTTTTTAACCTGTGCTTATTGACATTCTTAAAGTATTATTTTCAGCTGGGTAGTCCTCTCTACAAAATGCTAAAATGAGTTTGAACTGCCTACTTTAGACACATTTTCTCTTTTGGTGCACTGTGTTCTTGGACTAATGTCTGTACTGGATCACAAAAGTCTTTCTCTTTTTCCACTGCCTTCCAACAAACAAACATTAATTAATTAAGTCCACAACAAACATTTATTAAGCAATTATATATACGAGCCATTATTCTATTGACCTGGGATATTTTTAACAAGAAAACAGACAATTCCATACTTGATTAGAGCTTACAGTCTAGGGGGGTGAAATAAAATAAATAAAACACTTAATAAAAAAGGAAATTATATGGTATGTTAAAAGGTGGTGAGTGTTTGGGAAAAATAGAGTGGAGCAGGGGTTTTGGGGCGAGTGCGTGAGTTACAACTGTAAGCAGATGTGTCCGGTGGGCCCTCCTTAGAAGTGAGTTGGCCTCTGGTCATCTGGGTGCGAGGCTCTTTGGGGCAGAGGCTGCCAACCAGGGCTCAGGCCCGAAGGTGGGTGTTTGTGCAGGAATCTCCAGGAGCAGCCTCACAGGCTAGTGTGATTGGAGCACAATGAGAAAGGGGAGAACAGTAGGAGAAGAGGGGAGAGGTAACTGGTCCAGGTGGCTTGGAGACCTGTAGGACTTCAGGACTGGCTTTGAGTGAAATGGGGAGCCACAGAAGGTTCTTCAGGAGAGAAGTGACCCTCTCCCTTTCTATGTGTTATTGTCATGTATTTTACTCCTACAACTATTATTGGTTTTGCTTTAAACTTAAGTTGACTTTGTGGGGGTTAACTTTTGGATTAATGTTTACACCATATATTTTTTCCATCCTTTTACTTTTGACATACCTATGCTTTATATGAACTCATAGTGAGTTTCTTGTAGATAGCACATTAACGGCTCATGTTTTGTTTTGTTTTTTAAAATCCACAGTGCCAGTTTGGTCTTTTAATTGGTGTATTTAGATTTTAAAGTAATTTTTATGTTAGAGATTAAGTGTGCACTTTTATTGATTTTCTGTTTGTTTCCTCTAGTTCTCATTCCTGTTTCTCTTTTTTTTTCAACAGCCTGTGGATTACTTGAACATTTTTTAGGATTCCATCTTGATTTATTTCTTATCAAGGTTTTGTGCATATTACTCATGATTCTTTACCTCTAAATACTTCAATATATATTTCCCAAGAGTGAGAACAATTATCCAAATCAGGAAATTTAACATTGATATAATACTTTTATCTAATCCATACTCCATATTCAGATTTTGTTAATTGTTCCAGTGAGGTCTCTCATGGCTGGTCTCTTTAGTATCCTTTAATATAAAGCAATTTTTAACTTTTTTCCTATGTTTCTTGACCTCTTTCTTTTCTTAAAGTCAAAACAATTATTTTTTTAGGATGTCCTTCAGTTTGGGCTTGTCTGATGTTTCTTAAGGAAATATTCAAACTACTTATTTATAATAGGGGAAATTTGGAAACAATCTAAAACTGACATTTTAGGTGTTTGTTTAAATAAATTTAGATATACCCATAGTATGAGATATTATGCAGTCATCAAAATGATGGTATAGACATTTAAATGCTAACATAAAAAGTTGTTCTGAATATATTAAGAGCAAATGGCAAGGCACAAAGCAATCTGTAAAAATGATACCTTTTTTTGGTAAGGAAATATGTGGTTATTTGCATGGATAGAATTGCATGGAAATAATCTAGAAGGAAATATACTGTTATTATTTCTAGGTGTTATTACCTCTGGATGATGACCGAGAGATTGGTTTTACCTCTTTCTTTTCAAGTTTTTCCCTTGTTTTTCTACTATTATCCATACAATTTTTAAGAAGGAAGAAATTTTCCTTCTAACCTTTTCAATTTTTAAATAGCAGTGCCTTGATTTTTTCAGAAAAATAAAAAAAGAGATAGATGAAGAGACATTGGGGTATAATGGAAAATACATTGAACTGAGATTGAGGCCAACTTTTAACATTTACTATTTATAAAATCTCAGTCAGGAGTTTGATGATTTTTGAGCCTTAGTTTTTTCATCTTTAAAATGGGCATCACAGTATAACTTTCATATCTGCTTCACAGTGTTGTATGAGAATCAAAAAGAATAATTTATGCTGTTTCTCTTTGTAATCTTTAAAAACCAGATTTTCTTAATTTTATGGAAAATATTTTATTGCACAGAAGGGGTTAATTTTTCCTAAAATTATTTAGAGTAAAAAAAGAACAACTCCAAATACCAGGCATTTGAACTTCATTCTTGAAAGTTTCCAGCATTACTACTCTTTTCATCTAGTGGAATAGGCAGAAGAGTAAGAAGAACTAGATCAATCAACATTTATAGCTTAAACATGTCCTCAGCTCAAATAATTTGTTTTTCCATTTCTACTTCCATCTTTTTCACTTTTTATATGATTAGTTATTTTTCAGCTTTGAAAGAATGTGGAAAGTTCTTTCTTTCCTCTTTAGAAATTTCAAACATGCCACATCATAGGAAATAGAAATAAGAAAAAGCTCTTAATGAACATGCAGTTACACCCAGATGCTTCTGGGGCCTCAGTGTTTCTGACAGTAGGACAAGCCATTTCTGTGACGAGAATGCTTTGTTGTCTCCCACCGCTGCCTAGGGCTGCAGGCCAATGGAAGTCGCAGGGCCTAGCAGAGGCAGCAGCTGCGGCTGAGTAAGACAATCTGTAAGGAGGTGTCTTGGCTACAGCCGAGAGACTTCTGGAGCCATCTAAGAATTTTGCTGGAAACCAAAAGAGCTGAGGAAAAGGAGGTAGGGAAGAAGCCGGAATGAGGCTCCAGCAAGTGAAGTCTTATCAGGTCACAGACATAGAACATTGGTTTTGATTGTACTTATTTATTTAGATC